ATCATACAAATGAGAATTGGGGCGCTCGCACATATATATATGCTGTGTAGACCCCTGTCTGGGCTTGGGGAGCTTACTACTTACTTAGCGGGGCTCCCATTTTGTCACAGGCTCAAAGTGGTTGGAATGAGCACAGCAAACCTTTTAGCTATCAGATCCATTGTTGCTCTATGCGATGGTCTCCTCCACTGGATTCTCAAGTATCTTGGCGCTTCTCACGTTACTGTTGCGCAGATATTTGGTTGGATATTTTATCCGATTGCTTTTCTTCTTGGGGTTCCTAAGAAAGAGCTATTTCTCGTAGGACAACTTATTGGCATCAAAACCGTCCAGAATTAGTCCGTTGCCTTTTATACGCGAAGCACCGTTGAGGCATACAAAGATCTTTCCGTGCGAAGCAATTTTATTGTTGTACGAATGCCGAGGACATTTGTGCTAGCAAATAAACAATGTGAGGTTGCGCCTGATCTGGTGACTCTGCCAGATAACAAGACTGCGGTAATCTATTGATTGATGTAGCTTTATGTAGCCAAATAAATAAACAAAAAGAAGCCGGCTCTTAAACGCGTGTATCGAACGCGGTTGTGTTGATGACGGCAGATACCACGCTCTGGGTAATTAAGCCGAAGTAAAGCGGGATGCGGCGGCAGCCGTTCAGCACTAGCATGAGGTTGGCGGCAATGGGTCAATCACCGCCCCAGCCCCACCTGATCTTTCTGTGCTTATCATCAAAGCCAAAACATCTAACAAATAGATGCTCACTTCTCCCGGGAAAGTTGTCGCTTGGCTTTCCCCTGCTTTGACCATTCCAGGTTGACCATAACTTGAGACGAGAAACAGTTTGATTACACCGGGGTTAGCTTCACTGAAGCCAAGCACGAAGCTCTCATGGATCTCCCCATCATTGATCTAGACACTTTCCTGCACCAACCACGCTCCTCTGCACAAGTCATAACGGAGTGTGAAAAAGCAGCAAGCGCTCTTATCACATATGGAGCTTTGATACTGCGCGACTCTCGCGTATCCGAGGATGATAATACAACCTTCCTCGATCTACTCGAGGATTATTTTGCTCAGCCAGCAGACGACCTTCAGAAGGACGAGCGACCAGAACTTAGTTACCAGATTGGCGTCACTCTGGAAAATACTGAAAAGCCTAAATGTGCTGTCGATGAGCCATGCCTTCGTGTTATTGAGCGGCTGGATCCCGCAGAGCGACCATTAGATATCACTGCTCACTCACCGGACCCGAAATGCCGATTCTTTTGGCGAATGGGTGAACATCCCCCTTATACTTCCGAATTTCCAGGTCTTAACGCCTCCAATATCATACCAAGCGCGCCACATATCAATGGCCGCTGGGAGCCCGTTATGAATCAATGGGGTACTTCGATGAAGAATGCGTAGGTGGCCATTTTCTTCAAGCACCGTCAATTTGCTCATATTCAGCTTAGTGTTGCCAATCTTGCGGAGATGATTGCCATAGGGCTTGGGATACCAGCTGAGACTTTCAAGGATGCTGGGCGCTACGGGTTTGTCCCATTGGGAATCTCCTACTTACATGATGCTAAATGTAGATCAGCCCGCATTTACTAGCACCGACCGCTTCAGATCTCAAGAAATTTGGGGTGGAGGACACTATTCTTGCGGGATTCCACACTGACCTCAACTTTCTCACTATCCATGGCCGATCAAGGTATCCTGGCCTTCATATCTGGGCTCGCAACACTGGGAAACGCATTGCCGTCAAGATACCTCCAGGAAACTATCTTCTGGTTCAAGCCGGAAAACAACTAGAACACATCACCGGTGGTTTGATCAAAGCCGGGTACCACGAGGTGGTGGTAAACCAGCAGACTTTAGAAGTTATAGAGAAGCGAAAGGCACAGCTACCTGAGCGGCCATTGATCCGAATCTCGTCGACGCTTTTCTGGCACCTGTCTTCTGACCAGGACTTGACTCCCATTCAACCTCTCGCCGAGAGAGCTCAGAAGTTTAGGGCAGACCAGTTTAATCTGGGCAAGGATGAAGGTGATGAGGCGGAGTATGCGCCAATGAAAGTAGGACAGCAAGTTCAAAAGTGAGTTAGAGCGTCTTCTTTGTGTTTCCTGGCTGATCATTCTCATAGTGAACTCAAACATATCGCTTTAATGGCATGAATGCTGTAGGATACACGTGTTTCGCCATAACATTTGACAATCCTTCTCGTACTTTCGGGATTTTTGAAGAGAGCCTGGTAGTGAGGCAGGAGAATCAGCAATATGGTGAAAGGGAGAAAACTTTCCGGTGATATTCGGCTACACAGCAAATCTCATTTTCTTACAGTGGTAGCAAATCAAATAGTGACAGAAATCAGCACATACGCTATCAATTTCGGGGGACTGCTTGACAGCAGCTCTGCCAACGAGGACAAAAGCGTGCTAGTAATGTATTTGGTTGAACAGCTTTCGATTCATCCTATTTGCCTATGGTAACTGATCCCCAGATAATAGCACTTAGTTGAGCCATTGAATAGCGATTTAAGCGACTGTCTGATTTAGCACACCCCAGACGGTACCGTCGTGCTACCTGTCCTGCGAGAGGAGCTATACACAGCCCCAGATCCAAGCCCTCGTTTGGCAAATGCCGTCCAAATCTCACATTGGTTCTTGCCTCCAGTCAGCGCCGTATCGGCATCAAGGATGGCATCGCGAGCCTGAACAAAATTGGGATTGCATGGTTGGCTGTCATAGTTAGCATGATCCTAATAGCGCTGTAAATGTGAATACTCACAGGGCCATGCCATCAATAACTAGCTTCATGGCTAGATATCTCCCGTCTGTCGGCACACCGTTTGAGAATGTAGGCTTACTTGCAGTAGTCTTGCCGTACTTGTCGATCAAGTTCCACATGACTTCATAAAGCATAGTGGCCCAGACAGTTCCAATACTATGCACTTCTGTCATGCCGTTAACGCTGGTGTAGGCATATGGGTTGGTTGTCAACGATGTGGAATAGGGATAGGCGCGTATCCCCTTTGCATTGTTATAAACCCAAGCGCCCATAGGATAATCTTTAGACCTTGTATCCGCAGATTTGAGTCTTATAAGAGTTGCCATAAAATCGCCCCATCCCTCACCCATGCCTCCAGATTCAAGGGAATTCAAACAGTTACTGTTGGCCGGTCCTCCAGTCAACCGGTTGGACACTAGTATGAACTGTCAGTAAGTCTGCATACCTGGAACATACATAACAAACAACCATATTAAACTCACCTCCGTGGGTATATTCATGTATAATAACGCCAGCCTCGAAAGCACAATCTCTGTTGGGGGTGCTGTATGTCCAAATGTACATTCGCATTCGCCCCATCTGCCCGTCGGGTGGGGTCGAGAAATCCGCGTTGTTAGTGCCCGCACCATCTTGGGCATTCAGAATGACAAAATCGTTAGCTTTGCCGCCCTTTCCGTTGTTGTTGACTTCAAAGTTACCCGCAGCCTCGTTAAAACCTAGTTCGTACAGCAGATCATGGTACATGTTAGCTGTGTAGAAGAGCTGCGTGACCGAAGCATCCCGGTAACTGCTTGGTGGTGTCATTGTAGTAGAGTAAGTATACGAAAAATTGTATGTAGATGATTCGGGACGGTAATTTGTCAAATAGGCGTTACTGGCTGTACTTCCACTGGGGTTTACCTGAGCGATTCCGTTGTTTCCACGTGTAGTGTCGTACGTGGTAGATCCGTCGTTAATCCAAGTGAAAGGCGAGTCGGCTAGAGTCCAAGGGCTTACAACGGTTTGTCGAGAACCCTCGCTAGGGTCGTTTATCCCCCAAGGGCTTGGTATTGTTAGCAATAATACGTAGCCAAAAGTGACTTGACATACTAAACAAGGTAAGTTGCCGCCGTAGCATGGGCTACGTAATCCACAACACCGTGAACTTCTTCATTTGTTTCAGCATCGACGTAGGTCAACAGCCAGTTGTCCATGATGTCTGTTTCGACTCTCCAGGTCAACGCCAGGTTACCATCCTCTTTGACAAAATATACTAGTCGCGCCTCTGGGTCAGATACAGCACCGGTCGTCCCTGTAAGAGAATATGTCTCTATGCGATCTTTGGCAACAGCAGAGACGCCATCGACATTTACAGGAAGCTCAAGCATGGAGGTAGCACCAGTCAAAGCAGTAACTGGATCCTTAAAACCTCGCTTTTTCAACGGATTGGTAGCAGGTAACTCTCCCTTGAAAAAATTGTCGCCGTAAGAGAAGATGGTACCATCAGCAGCAATCTGAAAATCATTAGTTTTGACAGATGAATCTCACAACCAGAGCACTTGCATTGATGTTGAAATCCGCATTGTCGATATCCAGACCGTAAGCAGTCTGTTTCAGGTTGACGTGTGCAATGCCATTGGTACCGACATAATGGTCCTCAACGATTCGAAACTCAGCAAATGGCACAAGGTCTTTAACAAATGCCACAGCCGTGTCAACATAACCATCCCTCTTGACAAGTAGAGTAGATGTGGCACCCAGAGCTTCAGTTGCGTTGACATATTGAGCAGTGGCTTTGAGACGAAAGGATTCGAGGTCTACCATTCTACGTCGGATGCTGGACGGTCCATGATGTGCAGTCGGATGTGCGAATACATGGTGGCTACTGAGAAGCCCAAGAACGAGAGTAGCGTACATAGTTATACTAATGTTATGAGATCAAGTCCTGACTGGATGGTCTTCTTAGCTGAGTGATGGCTTATATATTTTAACGTGGAAGCAACGGATGTTATATATCATTCAAGTCGGGGTAATAAAGACATATGGGTAGCAGCTCCAGCTTCCGTTTTTGAAGAGTGGTATCGTGGCGCGTAGCTTTAGTCCGTCACACCAGCAACAAGCAAGGAACTAGGTCCGACGGTTTCAATCATCCATTTCATTTCATCAAAGTTGTCCATATTCCACGTTTGGATTCACGACTTAACACATACGATAAATGGTACTCCACGCTGCAAGACACCCAGAATGAAAAGCAGGAAGGTGGGATGCTTCTAGCACAATGATAGCCACCAAAAAGATGCTGACACGATTTAGAGGAGACCATATATATGCCAAGAGGTCACAATCAACAGTGGGTCTCCAATGTTGAAATCCAATGCCGCCGTAGCGCACACAGACTATGTGGACTTTGGTGATAAGAAGTCTAATAGACCAGAGTTTGATACTCTCAGGCCTCTTCTCTAGCGCAAGCGTGAAAATGCAGGGGGGGTCAGGTCCAGCCCTAGCATTGCTGTATCCTGGACCTTCTTAATTGGATCTAAAACTGCAATGACTGACAGAGCTGAGCCAAATTCAAGCTCGTAAGCTTAATTGCAACAGCCGTAGACTAAGACACTTACGGTAAGAGCAAACTCGGCATATTCATCGCCGCGTTCCAGATAAATGCCGATCTCCGTTGCTCTTCAGCAGGTCAGATCGAGGGCCATTCTTGAATTCAGGTATATGACCTTGGCTTCTTTCTACATCCCGTCGTGGGCAAGAAAAACGTAGTGGTAATGACTCCTTGCGGACTTGACTAAGCTTGTTACTGGAATAAAACGGCTACGCAGTCTCTCTTGGCTAGCTCTTGGACTGATGAGCTGGAAATACAAGACTGCAGTATGCACTTTGACAATGCGATAACGAATTGCCCGAGGAGTTAGCATAGTCCTAGATCCTCTGCTATAGAGGCGCATCGAAAACCCTGATATGAGCAGCAAGAATTGGTGGAACGAGCCAGAGCGCTTGCCGCATCCCGAAAGCCTTGTTCTTGAGTAGCTTGGTTGGACTGTTGCCAAGATCGAGCACTTGATCCTCCGGTAGATGATCCTGGATGATGGGACATCTTGGCGCCATGTGCATATTTTAGACCTTCCACAACAAGCATCTTGACCGATTAAATGCGACGGCGTGATCAGCAAATGCGCACTAACGTTGCTGACATAGCTCACTGTTGGCAGTCTATACATGAAGAAGTAATTCTTCTCGTGGGATAATGCTATTGTTCTGTGGTACAATGTACAACAAGCTGCTTACGACCATCCCAGTTGAGAGATAGAGAGTGTTTTTTAATTTCGTGTCTCGCAGGTATGCATACACTGATAAACAGATGGTCAGCAACTGGCAGCTACCAATTTGAGGAGGTCAAACGCTGTAACACGATTTCGTAGATCCTGGGAGGAAAAGCAAGCAACATGTATTCGTAAAGTTTGGCCGATGCGCAGCCCTATAGAAGTTCTTGCCACAGCTTCAATAGATTAGTCCAGCCCGAAAACCCTGTAACGAGATAAGGTATGTGGCTATTTGGATGGTGGTGAACTCCTGTAATTTAGCGAAGTTATCAAAAGATGTTGGCATTGATTTACAAACCATGACCTCCTTACATCTGAAGTACTAGGGCGCGAGCAAGCAAAATTCTCAGGATTCATCGGGGCCATATCGATACAAACGATGATTGATCTGGACGCGCCTCGTGAGGACCATGGCTCGCATGAGTACGTTAAAGCCGTCACTAAAAATTGTCCCGTTGTGACATGTTTTGCCAACTAATGTTGAAACTGCCCGCAACCCAATCATATGTCAGGAAGGGAGAGAGAAAAGGGCGTAGGACATTTGTAATCAGATTCAGATATTATTAGCGAGTAGGTCACTCCAGACAGGCATCGGAGAACCACGGATGGTTATACTGGAGAGCTGGACAAAGCTCGATCGACCTGAAATGGCCGCGTCACACGGCGCGCGCAGAGCTGCTAAGAAACCCGCCGAGGCGCGTTGACAAATTGTGGCGCATCAATTTGGCGACGTGGCTGCTCAAGCTGGGGCTCTGCGACTACCGTGCTGTAGATGCTGGAATGATACCTAGGTAGCTAAGTAGCATTCTCGTCTTGGTTACGGGATTGTACAGTACAGTACAGTACTTACATATCGATACCCCCATGCATAACATACATTCGACATTGCATCGCCGCTGATTGACTGACGGACGGACGGAATCGTAACCGGTTTCCGAAGGACAAACGAACGAGCGAACGAACAAGAACCATCCAACGAATCATAGCGTGGCACAATGATCTCCCTCGTCGCCTTCGACCTCGACGGAACCCTCGCCGAGAGCAAGCAGCCGCTGAAAGACTCAATGGGCGAGGCTCTGGCCGATCTGCTGACCGTGGCCAATGTTGCCGTCATCTCTGGCGGTGACTGGCCACAATTCCAGAAGCAAGTCGCCAGTCGCCTACCCGCCCGCGCAGACTTGTCAAAGCTATGGCTCATGCCGACTACAGGCACAAAGCTTTACACGCACATGGGTGGTGAGGGTTGGCAGAGGGTCTATGCTGAGCTCTTTAGCGAGGACTCGAGGAGGAAGATCCTCGAAGCATTCGACAGCTCCCTTGAGGCGACTGGCTTTAAGCCGGAGAAGACGTGGGGCAAGCGCATTGAGGATCGAGGGTCCCAGATCACATTTTCTGCCCTCGGCCAGGAGGCGCCCATCGCCGAGAAGGAGCACTGGGATCCCGACTTCGAGAAGCGCAAAATCATACAGGCCGACCTACGAAAGCGACTGCCCGACCTATCAATCAATATGGGAGGGGCGACCTCGATTGACATTACACAAAAGGGCGTTGATAAAGGCTACGGACTCAAGAAGTTGCGCGATGCAAGTGGCATACCCCTCGGACAGATGATGTTTATTGGTGATGCCATCTTCCCCGGTGGCAATGACTATCCTGCCAAAGAACTCGGCCTTGAAACCGTGCGCGTCAAGGACCCAGACGGCACACTCGCTGCCATTGCCGCCATCGTCGCCTGCCTTCGATAGAACCAGCTGGACCCGTTTCAGGCTGCCCATTACCCATCAGCTAACACCCATTGCACATCACCAATAGCAAAACTACCAGTATGTAGTGTAGTATAGAGGAAGATGATTAGAGAAAAATACGTAGACCATATTCTGACCTCGGACAGGAGTAGGCTTGTCTCAGGCCTTGAGTCCTTAGGCCCTAGACGCAAAGCTTTTGAGTAGAACGAATAAATTAGATCGAGATCAAGACGCGTAGCATGTATACAGCTCCGTAGAGTACTGCCCCAATTCTCTCGCTCCGGGCGAAGAATGGAGGTCACCACACATCCAGGGGCTAGGTTAGCGCCTTCTTGGCCCTAAAGTCGGCAACTTCTTAGCGCCTGCCTAAGTAAATGTTTCTTTTTGGCCCGCAAACAGTAGCACTCGAGAATTATCATTCTTTTTTATTTCATTGATAATCAGCTACTGCATTGGCCTCGATAGCCTTGTGCCACAACCCTCTCAATAACGGCCAGCACGGCGAATAGAGATGCTCTAAGGGCGCCAATGCCTCAAGTGCATACTAAGCGCAGACGCATCACAAAGGCGTGTGATTTCTGTCACCGCAGGGGCCGTAAATGCAAGACGCTTGATGGGACTTCCACGAATATTGAAAGTTCGAACGTGCCCCAGACCTGTCTAACATGTCTCGAGCACGATGTGTCCTGTACATGGGATCGCGTCTCCGTCAAGAGGGGAGTCAAGTCAAGACCCGATACGGTGATGAGTGAAGACAAGTCGCGGCCTTGGATGTATGCGAGCACACGGCACGGCCCTCAAGATGTTATCCATGCTCTGATACTGACATTCTTCGATACGGTGTACCCAATGTAAGTCTATTCTCAGCTCTTTGACATCTCCCAGCACTGGCTCTTCTCACCTCTCTTAGATTCCCCTTCTTTGATCAGGATGAAGTCCTTCTCGAATGGCAAAAGTCGAACCTCTCATCCACGCGGGCTTCGTTCTCTAGACTCATGGCACTTTGCGCCCTAAGTTCATGCCATGTCAGGAATGGAGCCATATTAGGTACACCTCAAACCATCTTATCCAGGTTTGAAGAGTCTGCGGTATTTCTCGGAGACGCCCAGCTAGCCATTCCCCATGATATTCATGGTCCAGATACTTTTGTGTACCTCCAAGCCATAGCGACTCTAGTGTTGGTCGCAATTCAGATCGGAGATGCTGCATTGCTCCACCAATACTTGGGCCTGTATCACACGCTTACTGCCCGGTATACACTTCATGACGAGGCCAGATGGCCTTCGACTTTAGAGCTAACTGAAAGAGAGACCAGAAAACGGCTGTTCTGGTCCATGTACCGGATCGAGGTTCATTCAGCGTTGGTTATGGGGCATGCCATTCGATGTCCAGAGATGCACGCTGCTGTTTCCTACCCGATAGTGCCTCCTATCAGCTCCCCTGTTGCTGATGTCGCAGCGGATGATAAATCTACCGAGGCTTGGCTTATAGGGTGGAATTATGTTACTGATTTATACCGGGTTCTAGAATATGTCATTACTCGGTTTCGCTCGAAGAGGATGCGCACGGTTGCAAGAGGAGACCTTCACGAGTTTAACTTGGTGGCACCCGTTAACACGGATTCACTACTCTCCCAAGTCACACAGAAACAGCGGTATCTTCCAAAGTTCTTGACACGGGCTTCGGTACCTTCCAGTCATGTGATTGAGAATCGATGTGGATTTCAAGTTGCTAACATCGTTTGCACAATGCAAGTAAGCAGACTCCGACTCTTATATAATCTTAGATCGTGACTGATTCTTAGCTTCTGAAAACACTCTCATTCGCTTGCGAAGATGTAACCTTCGCTGACGCATGTACTGCCGCACAGCAGTTGATCGAAGAGTTCTCAGGTATCCCACTAGCGTATATCCGAGCCATAGGATCCCCAATGGTCAGTTTCGAAGAGGATTCATCCCTAACAGCCAGACGTGCTGACAGTGCGATTAGCACCAAGAGCTTGCCGGAGTTGGACACCTGTTGAGCAGCTTCATTGGGCGACCGTTGGTATTCACGGAGTACCAACAGTTGCGTAGTGTCATGTGAGCAATACAACGACACTCTGATATTTATTTCTTTGATATTTCAGCTCACCATCCGTTAGTTTGTCCATGGTTCGGTTTCTTGAGAGCCTTGGTGCATCTACCCCCTCAGCCTCTGTGGCAGGTCTCCAACTTTCCCAACATATCGAACGTATTGATTCTTATATAGCCGGGAGCCAGAGCGATCATCCATCTCCTGGTTTTGGAATCATTGAGCATGAGCATGAACTTTATGAATCGGTTCATCTTTCAACGATATTTCAGGCGTCTGCAACGGAAAACGACCTGAACGTGGTTGTTCCAATAGAATATTTGCAGCACATCCCGTGGCCTGGTATACTCGAGACTGACACGAGCTGGCCAATCACAGATACGAATAAGTTCAATGAATAAAACGCTAATATAATTCACACCCTAGACACGATAAGAGCCACCATAGCCTCATAGCCTTTCTTCCCGGAGACAAGTAGGCCCCTGAATACTTCCTTTCAGACAATTTAAGCCTGATCGTACACCATCAATTAGACGAATTTCCGATGGCAGAAGTGCACCGATGCTGTTCTCCATTCCTGCCATCCCAGCGCATCCTAATATGATGCTTGTTGCACCACTCTCCCTGAGTAAATCTATGCTGGCCTTAATGGTCTCTATAACTTCATTTCTTGGCAAAGCTGCCAGATCCAGAACACTGAGCCCAGTCGCTCGAATCCCAGCGCATCTCTGGTCATAATGCAGATCGCGTACAGACTGCGTCAGAATCGTTTCCCATGACTTTGCGGTTGTGACAATGCCAAATCTTCCCGCGCTAGATGTCGCATCTTCAATCGCGGCTTCAAATATGCCTAGCACCGGTATAACACAATTCTGACGAAGTTCATACACAAGAGGGTGGTCGGAGAAGCAACAAACAAGGATGCCATCGAACAGGTGAGACTTCATAGCGCTTATCGCCCGAGGTAGGATTGCGTTGGCTGATTCGATGGCTTGCTCGTTATTTTCAATACACGGCGGACATTTCTCGAGACCAGACCCATCTATGAACGAAATGTCCAAATTCTTCGTCGAAGGATGCATCCTTCTCAATTCATCCGTCATTCCTGTGGTAGAGATCGGTATAATACATAATAGACTAGTTTTACTCATTGTGCTCATGTCTTTCTCAATGTAATAGTAAAAGAGTATAATCGATTGACGGCGCTGGCGTGATACCCGGACACAAGTCGACAGTCACTGCCAATCATGGAGACAAGATTTAACAGCTTAACCGCAGACTAGTCTCTTAGATGACCAATCAATTGTGCTAGTAAATATCATTAGACCTATCGCCTTGGCCTTCTCGAGGGCTAGGACAAGGTTACATATCAGATAAGCATTATGTTGGTAGTCACAGCTGCGTTTTTGGGAGTCAATGTGTTTCATTATCTTCATCGTGAACTGGAACACACGATTTTTTCTTTTTTTTTAATATGATGGATAATTTTGAGGAATAGCATTATTATAGTACTGTAAAAGCGTTAGACCAAACCACCCTAGATTTTGCTCGATTCGTGCACATTTATCTGCATCGATTCTGTTTCAGCTCCTAGGACCGATCCATCCAGAACCAATCTGTCTACAGAAATGAATGTGCCGAAGTAATCAGCATCATCAACAGCATTTGGCTCATCTATTGGCGAGAGTGTATTGAGCAAATAGTATACCAACACAGCGAGGAGGCATCCGAATGGCCATGCCATATAGTATAGATGAGACCATCCCCTTATTTCCACGGTTGGATCCTGAACTCTTCGAACGAATCCTGGTAATAGCGGCCACGTTGCCACAATCCATGCAACACCAGCCCGCCAATTCACCCCGTTCCAGTACCAATAGATGCTACTATTAGATGTATCATAAAGACTTGTAAGCTTAAGTTGGCGTGACCGAATAAGGTAATAGTCTGCAAACATGATACCGGTCATAGACCCCAAAAACACACCATATCCACCCATGACTGTAAGAAATTTGCTCGCGCCGTTGAGTAATTGCCATGGCTGCATAATGAACGCGACCGCTGCGGTCAGATAACCGCCACGTCTGAGATTAAAATAACGCGGCAGTAGTGCTGATAGATCGATTCCATTTGAAAGCGCATTCTCAGCTACAGCAATGCCAAATTGTGCCAGGATGAAAGCAAGGCTTGCGAATGCCACAGCTGCTCGTGCTCGTGAAGAATGATGATAATGTGATTGAAGTGTATCAAGAAGCCGATAGGGCTCCCATAATAAAGTCCCTTGCTGTTCTGGGAATAGCTCAGCAGCACACGAAGTACACACTATGCCAATTAGAGCAACGATAATGGTATTCAGAGGAACAAAGGCCAGTTGGGATATAAGTTGATCTCGGGGACGGCGCGCAAAGCGTGTAAAGTCGGACTGACTGAATATATGTGTGCTTATGCCACCAATGTTTGTGCAGATGCCCAGGACAAACATCCAAGCAAGGTGACTGCCTGTTGCTTGATCGACACCAACCAGTGAGACGTCCTTGACGAGAGGGCCGGACCCTTTCGCTTGTGTTGTACACCAGATAAGTAACACAAATACTGTCGGAATGACCGTCATAGCTGCGATCGAGAAAGGAATTTTGTATTTCTCTGGCTTGATCCAGATAAGAGGCAAGCAAAGAATGGAGAAGATGATGAAGCCGGTGAAATCCGCCGTTGTCATGGTGCCGTTAGCAAGAGGTTGATTCAAGTCATTGAAAGAGGGCCAAAGAGCGGTGATGAAAGTTCGTACACACTGGCCACCCCAGTAGACTTGGGTTGAATACCAGATAAAAGAAAGAACGATTCGCTGGACGAGAGGGAACAACGCCCCGAACATTCCCCACGATGATTTCTGAAGGATAGAAAAGCCGATATGCCATTTCGCGCCTGGC